TTTGATCTGGTATAATGTATTTTTGGAGACTGTAATAGACCCAAACTAAACTTGTGATAGCTCTTTCGAAAGCCCTAGATGTCTACTTCGATTAGGTACTGATTTTGTAACTTTTGGGGCTGTGTAGAATATTTTATAATTATTCCCGTAACAGTCACTAAGGCTGTCTTTTTTTAAGAATTGATAAAATAAAGAACCGAGACCCCTACTTTTTGACATAGGATTGCTGCATCTAAACTGCCTTTGCTACCACTTAGAACAAGTTAATCGTGATGTGTTAGCATTGGAATCACCTAATTTAGAATTTTGTCGCTCGAGTTGTGCGCATTGAAAGTTTCATGAAGCAACTCTCCAAAAGCTGTCAAAATAAGGAAAACCAGAATCTTGATTTCTTAAAAACTATTTTTGAGGTACTTAAAAAGCTCAGATTTGGGTATATGATAGCTCATTTCAAATCTCTAGGTGTCTAAATTATTCAAAAACTGGAATTACGTGCTTTAGAGTTATGTGGAATGTTTTATGATCATTTCCGTCGGAAAGGTCAAAATTGTATTTTTGGCATAACGCAAAATGTCTGAATTTGAACCCCAACTAATAGAACCAAAATTGTTGCACCTGAAGCAGTTAGACTAGCATTTAGTATGTATCATTAGTGATATGTAGCACTTGAAATCATTCCGTTTGGAGTTTTGAAGGCCGAGTTATGCGTGGTTGAAGTTTCACTTAGAAACTTTTTGAACGCCTTCAAAAGTTAAAATTTCAAAATTTCAATTTCTTGTTAAATGTGTTTGAAAGGCTCAGAATATATAAAATAGGGCATGTGATCATTCGTTGAAAAGCCCTAGATGTCTATTTTCATTACAAACTAGTTTTACACCCTCCGGAGACACGTAATATAGTTTCCACGTGTTTCCGTGATGAGCGTCAGATCAACCCAGATGTGAGATTAAAGAACTGAGTAAATTGAATGATTCTTTTAAATAAATCGAGTCTAATTAAATGGAGGGCTTCCCTAAGCACTTAGGTTAAGATGCTCGGTTAGATATTAAAAATTTGGAACCCATTGGGCGTTGTACAAGAGACGTGTCTGTGGTGGTTCTTGTTCATTTATTGTACAACTTTGCATAGGATTTGTATCATAAATCAAGTGTTCGGACATTGTATAGAGATAAAAAATCGTCATGTTTACGAATAGAAAGCGTGATTGTGGAATAATCACGAGTGGTTAAAAAATGATGTGATCGTTAATGCCATTTGTTTCCTTGGATATCTTTGTTGAATGTTTTCTTAAGTAAAACCACTACCCATGTTCAAAGGAATCACCCGTTTTGGTGTGAAAGGAAAACTTGCACCATGATATATAAGGCCTTTCCAAATCATACAACGAGTCGGTGTCGTTGCTTATCGCCTCGCGTACCTCCTGAATTGTCCCATGTACACAATGTGTTTCATGTTTCTATGCTTCAAAAATGTCGACTCGATCCGGAAGCTATTATGCAATGGTACGAGGTTCCAATTCAGTATAACACGACTTACAATGAAGCACCGGTCTAGATTCTTGATCAAAAGATGAAAAGTTTACGTCATCGAGAGATTCCTCTAGTGAAAGTGTCGTGGCAACACCATGGTGTTGAGGAAGCGACGTGAAAACTAGAAACAACGATGCAAGAATGACATCCGTATCTATTTTCATCCTAAGGTCAAATCTAATTTCGAGGATGAAATGTCCTTTAGGAGGGTAGAGTTGTAACAACTAGAAGAATTAAGTAGGTTTAATTATGTTAATTGTGATATACTAGTGTGCCTTATATTGATTATTCTTAATTAATCATGTCATTAAAAATTTTAATTACCTTTAGTTTTGAAAATACACTTATTTTTCCTTTTTCCTCTAAATACCCTTTAATATATTTTTCCCACATTTTCTTTTCTTTTTCTTTTTGCTTTTTCATTTTTCTTTTCCTTTCTTTCTTTTTCCTTTTCTCTCTCTCCTTTTCTTTTCTTTTCTTGTCCTTCTCGCAGCCCCCTGCTCTCTCTCTCTCTCTCTCTCTCTTCCTCCTCTCTCTCTCTCCTCTGTTTCCTTCACTACGGCCTCCCTCTCTTTCCCCTTTACTCCGGCCGGCCACCTACTCTCTCTCCCTTTGTAACGCCCTCCAGAATTAAACATGTTTAATTATGTTAATTGTGTATATTAATGTGCTTAAAACTGATTTTGCTAATTAATCTTGTGATTAAAGATTAAGTTTTTGAGTTATTTTAATGACTTATAAATTACTTTCAGTTTTTCAATTTTCACCTCAAAATTTTTTGAAAATACACTTAATTTTAATGTATTTTCTTTTAATTTTCTTTTCTTTTCCTTTTTTCTTTCTTTTTCTTTTATTTTTTTTATTTTCTTTTTCTTTTTTCCATTCCCTTCCCGTGGCTGCCAGACCAACCCTCTCTCTCTCTCTCTCTCTCTCTCTCTCTCTCTCTCTCTCTCTCTCTTTCTCTTTCTTTCTTTCTTTCCTTTTCTTCTTTCTTCTTCCACGGCAACTCCCTCCCTCTCTTTCTTCCTTCACCGCCGGCCACCACTCCCTCCCTCTCTCCGGCCACCACTCCCTCCCTCTCTCCGGCCACCTCTCTCTTTGGTCTCTCTCCCTCCCTTGCTCTCTCTGAGTTTCTCTCTCTCCCTCTCTCTCTCTCTTTCTCTCAGCAGTTGGCCGAGAGACACAAAAAAAAATGAAAACGACAGAAATCGAGGGAAATAAAGCTCCATCAACTAATTTGAGGTAAAACCCCTTGAAACCTACTCTTTGATTTAAATTTTAAGCTTGAGAAAGTTTGGTTTTTGTTAGATTTGAATAATTTTGAGTTAGGGTTTGGATTTGAAAAATTGTTGTTAGAATTGAATGAAATTTGAGGGTTTTCAGTTATTGGACTTGTTTAATTGATTGGAAACTAGTTTTGATGGATTCTAGATAATATATTTTGAAATTGAGCTTGAATTACAGGTTTGGCATTTTTCCCATTTATGACGGCATGCTACCGAAATTTCTTTAAAAACTTGTTTTTAAACTGAAATTAAATAGGAAACCAAACCCATGGATTGGATTTCAATCCTTAAAGAACCCTCAAATTGATTATAAACTCACTTGTGAAACTTGAATTTGAGTCAGTGCACACTAATAGGAAATAATTAAACATGATTGAGCTTATTTCCTTTTAGGAATGAGAAATACTTCCTAAGATATTGCTTTTGTGATAAAGCTAGTGGAGAAGGTCAAGTATTAAAGGTTTAAGAAAAGCGAAGGCTAGAAGAATGGAAGGCTAGCCCAGGTTTGACATCCGAGAGGTAGGATATTCTTGTCCATATCCTTGTTAGCCTCACTTTAAATGATTTTGACCAATGAAAATGTTTTAGAACAAAACATGTTGAAAGAAAATGATTTTAAAGGAAATAGCATGAATAATGCTATTAAGTTTTCCAATGATTTTGGAAATGAGATTTTAAAGAGTATCATTTCTTAAAATGAAATATTTTAAGGAATGATACAACGCATGGTGGCCATAGAGATCGGGATATGGGAATCATATCCTTGGAGGCAGGTCCCGAAACCCGTACGGATCCATTTCTTACTCAGTAGAATTATGGCTCTGCACTTTTCACTAGACAGACATTTTACCACTCCTTGCTCAGTGGTATGATAATCTTCACACTTTCATATTACATATATCTTCTACTACTATGTGAGTATTTCCTTTTCAAAAAAAAAGGATGATCGGTTCCGTGTGCATGTCTTCAGACTGTGAGTACTTTATTTATTATGTTTTATAAGATTATGTCCTACTGGGCCTTCCGCTCACTTTTCTATGTTTTCAATGTTTTAAACCCCCCCTCCAGAGTTAGCGGTTTAGATTTACAGCGTGACTAGAGGTGTCAAATGGGCCAGGCCGTCCATGGACGGCCTGGCCCAGCCCGTAGTAGTGCTGAATTTAGCACGGCCTGGTTCGCTACTGTTACGGGCTGTGCCGGCACGGCACATGTAATGGGCTAGGGCTGGGCCTCAGCTTCTAAGCACGGCCCAAGCACTTGGAAGCCCGTGGCATGGCCCTTGTTCGGCCCAGCCCAAGCTCTGATTCAGCCCTTGTTCGGCTCAGCCCAAGCCCGTGAAATGGCCCATGAAACAACCCATTTCATTTGGTCCAGGGGGCCTTCGCGGGCCCAACGGGCGGCATGTGACGGGCCTCCCGTTTGGCCCGTCATGTGCCTCCCGTTTGGCATGTGACCGGCCAAACGGGAGGCCCGTCACGTGCCGCACGTTAGGTTTGTGAAGGGCCCAACGGTAAACAACCAGAATTTCACCCAAAAATCCTCTATAAATACCCCTTAATTCCACCATAAATCCCACACAACAATTCACTCTCAACTTTTCATCTCACTCTCATTCTATCTCTCAACTTTTCTCTTTGATTTTGATTCTAAGTTTTTTTCTCATTGATGAGTGCGTAATTTATGCACTCATTCGTTACTCCTTTAGCTAGTTTTGGCATGTTTTTCCTCAAGTTGTTATGTGGATTTGATGACTTTCCCTTGAGTGTGTAGGAAAGGGTGAAATCGTTGAGTTTTGAGGCATTTTGGATCAAAAAGACAGAGAACGAGACGATATGGAACCTTCAGATGGTGATGCGACTCGAAAATGAGCAAAATCGAGCAAACCTGTGCGAAGGACCAGAGAGGGATGCGATATGTCGCCTCCTTTGTGGAGATATCTCGCCTCCTTTAGGCGATATGTCGCCTATTCTAGGGGATATGTCGTCTGATTTACCCGATTTTATTAGAAACACCGGTGGTTAAACCGGGTTCGATCACTTTTTCGGATAATCCACCTCGTAACACTCCCCCATTGCCATTCCCTCAACAGTTCCAGAAGAAGCCGCTTGACGAGCAATTTGAGAAATTTTTCAATATCTTTAAAAGGATCCACATCAACATCCCTTTCGTGGACGCTCTCAAGCAAATGCCAAACTATGCCAAATTTATGAAGGAGGTTATGTCGAAGAAGCGTAAACTCGAGGACTATGAGACAGTGAAGCTTACAGAAGAATGTAGCGCTATCATAAAGAGACAACTACCAGAGAAATTGAAGGATCCAGGATGTTTTACCATCCCATGTACAATTGGTGGGTCAACTTTTGAGAGAGCTCTTTGCGATCTAGGAGCTAGCATAAACCTCATACCTTTGTCGGTGTTTCGAAAACTTGGGCTTGGAGAGGTCACCCCTACAACCATCTCCTGGCAAATGGCGGATAGGTCCATTACCTACCCATGGGGAATCATTGAAGACGTATTGGTAAAAGTGGATAAGTTCATCTTCCCAGTTGATTTTGTAGTTTTAGACATGGAAGAAGATCAGGAAATCCCCATTATCCTTGGAAGGCCTTTCCTAGCTACCGGAAGGGCTTTAATAGATGTGCACAGTGGGAACTTGACTCTAAGGGTCAATGAGGAGAAAGCCATCTTCAACATCTTAAATCCCAAAAGGTCTCCGCAAGAAAAGCTGACATGCAACCAAGTGGAGGAATTGAAATCTTGTATCAAGGAGTTCACTCAAGAAGTTATGCCGAAAGATTCTTTGGGGAATGGTCCTACCAATTCCCTAACCATAAAAAAATTGAGCAATGAACATTGTCCCAAGAAAGATGATGTGGGGGAGTATATTGTTAAGAAGGCTGAAGCCATTGCCACCCCGATGAACAATGAAATGGTGGTGGCCAAGAAGAAGCACGACCAACGAACCTCGTGGCAAGATCTCACTCCGGGCCAACGCGTCCTTCTTTTCAACTCTCAGTTGAAGCTCTCCCCTGAAAAGGTGGAGTCAAGATTATCTGGAACATTTAAGATCAAGCGAGTGTTTTCATTTTGTACCATCGAGCTAGAACCAGGAGGATGAAGTCGTGTTCATGTCCAGCTAGGGACGTTAAATCAAGCGCTTCGTGGGAGGCAACCCACATATGATTTTTCGTTGATTCTGTGTCAAATGGGTTTCATTGTAAAAAATAAAAAAACAAAAAAGAAAAAAAAAGCAAATCAGGAGAGGGAGACAGAATGATAGGCGATATGTCACCTGAAGGATTTTGACAGCCATATTAGTCTTCGGGAACCTCAGATGGCGAACCCGACGGTGGAATTGATGATGCTGGATGAGGTATGGCCGATAATACTTAGACCGGCCATGAGGTATTGTTTTTCTTTCCTTTGCCCTTTAAGTTTTAACGCCAAACAGTGGGGACACTGTTCCTTTTAAGTTTGGGGGAGAGTATCATTTTCTTTTCTTTTGTTATCATCTCTACCTATTGATATTCTTTTTGTAGGGTAGTTAGATTTTAATTTATTTTGATATTTGTACCGAACTGAGTGTTGTATTACATATGACTTTGGGCTTCGATGATGACTTCATACTAAGCCCTCTTCTTTCATTCAGTATGTGTCTCTATATCTTTGACTGTGTGCTTGATCTATCATGCTTGCTTTTGATGTTGTTATCTCTATTTCTGAGCACATGTCTATCTACCTTTCCTTATTCGATGTGTGGCTTTGTGTGCAAGTTTGAGACTTTTTATCTCAATGAGAATGCTAGAACTTACCCAAAGGACTTGTCGAGGCGAAATCCTAGGTCTTTGTTGTGTTGATAGGATAGAGGCCCTCTTTGGACCGTTTGAGCCAAAAAGCTAACCCGAGCAACATATTATCCATAGAGTCCCTCTTTGAGCCGAAAAAAAAAGAAAAAAAAACCAGTATTCTTTTGTTTTACTGCCTGATAACCTGAGCCTTGCAATGTATCAAACATTACCTTTACCCACTTACCTTGGCATCACACGTGACCCTTTCACCGAGCGTCGAACGCCTGGCCAGCAAGAGTCGTTAAGTGAGGAGTTTTCTGAGACCATCCTTGAACCTTTATATTCATCCCTCACCATTCTAAATGCGAATTTGACTTTGTGTTCCAAAAAAGAAAAAAACAAAAAAAAAAACAAAAAAAAAAAGAATTCATGTTTGGGGATCGATCATAGTGGGGGATAGTGTTTATGGATGTTACATTCGAAGGTGAAGAGGCGAATCTAGAAGTAAAGGGCATTGGTTTCGGTTCGGTGAACGGAGGAGTCTATTATTGCCACCGTGCTTGTCTAGGGTGAGTCTGATTTTCTTTCTCCGATTACCATTTATCCTTCACCCTAGCCTAAGGTTACAAGCCGAGTAAAGTCCTCTTGATCTCCATGACATTTGACCTACATTAGTGGAGATGAGTCAGACAGGTGAGCCTATGGTCGTTCTGTTTTAATGTTTATCTTGCGATTTGTCTTGATACAGATGAGTCACATTTGTGTTTAGGTCTTGTAGAGATGATTTGCACACACTTACACGGAGATGACAGTGTTAGAAGTTAAGTTGAGAAGGTTGAAATTCTAGTCCTTTTCCAGATTCACATGTTGGGTGGGTGCAGAGGTGTTTGGTAACTTGAGATTATATGCCTCAGCTCTATGTTTACACTCTCAGTCGGTTCATTTCTATTTCTTTTGTTTTGTTTTTGGTTTGTTATTTTAGTTTGTGTCATTTTTTGTTCTTTTGTCCATTTCCCTTTGTGTGTTTTATTTTATATTAGGTTTTTCTGCTTGAGGACAAGCAGCCGTTCAAGTTTGGGGGTGTGATGAGTGCGTAATTTATGCACTCATTCGTTACTCCTTTAGCTAGTTTTGGCATGTTTTTCCTCAAGTTGTTATGTGGATTTGATGACTTTCCCTTGAGTGTGTAGGAAAGGGGGAAATCGCTTAGTTTTGAGGCATTTTGGATCAAAAAGACAGAGAACGAGGCGATATGGCGCCTTCAGATGGCGATGCGACTTGAAAAGGAGCAAAATCGAGCAAACCTGTGCACAGGACCAGAGAGGGATGCGATATGTCACCTCCTTTGTGGAGATATGTCACCTCCTATAGGCGATATGTCGCCTATTCTAGGGGATATGTCGCCTGATTTACCCGATTTTATTAGAAACACGCGTTTTGCCCTAGTTTGGTGCAGGGACTTTTATGGAAAGTGAGAATTAGCTTCTTGGGGATGTGTTGGATGTGGAATATAAGGAGGAGAGGCCGAAAGCTGAAGGGAAGGAGGAGAAAAAAGGTTTGCAAAAGAAGAAAAACTGAATCGGAGAGGATTCGAGGGAAATTCCAGCGATTCTTCAAGAATTCCAAGCGTTCTTCATTCTCTTCTTATCTTTCTTCTTGTATTTTTCTGAGTTTTGAATATTATTTTGAGATTGTGAACCACATGATATGTGGCTAATTTTCTTATTTATTAGGGTTTAGATGAATGTCTATTTGTGATTATTGTTTTGACGTTTTAATGTGCATTTAATTAAAGCTTTTCGTTTCTTTCGTGTTATGTTTTGAATTATTGCTGCTAAATCTATGATTTACATATTGCCATGCTTTATGAGATTTTTAATTGGGCAGATTTTTATTGTGAGGATTAACACTCGAGAGGGGAACGTTCAAGCAATCAAGAAACGGATAGAACAACTTAGGTTGGTGTGAGATCGAGAGATAAACATTGCCTAGGTAACCGAAATAATTTTAGGTTGTGAAATTGAGAAGTGGAATTCCAGGAATTGTTTCTAGAGTGGAACTTAATGAAGGTAGGGATGATTAGTTGTTTAGAGATATAGGCTTGATATTACCTACACATTCTTTATGCAGCACTCGAGAGAGGGTATAAGGATACACATCACTCTAGGTTCTTGAGAATGTTGAGTTAGGTTAGGCACATTACTACGGAGAAGCATAATCGCAATAGAGTGAAGTCAAGACCCTAGCATTTTTATCATATTGATTTTCCATTCTAATTTCAGCACGTATTACTAATTACTGTCATCTTTCCTTTTGACTTAGTTTTCCTTTATTTTAGTTTTCCTTTGAGTTTATCACATCCAAATTTGATCGCTTAGATAAGGTTAAGATATGATATTCACAATAGTTAGTTTATATTCTTAACGTCAATCCTCGTGGGACGATATCGGTCTTCGGACCACTTTATTACTTGTACGACTTCTGTACTTGTGTAGTCAAAATTATATTGCAACAAGTTTTTGGCGCCGTTGCCGGGGATTGAACGGCTAAGAATTAAATTACTATAGTGAAGAAATATCTTGTTTTAATCTAAGTTTTTTTTTATTTGTATTTATTTATCTAATTTTCTTTTGTTGTGTTCGTAGGTGCATGCAAAACGCACGTGGCTCGGAACTCTTGCCTTTGGATTCAGAAATCGAATGAACTATTCAAGCATTAAGGAGAGAATGACGAGCTAGGGCTAAGAACATGGCCGAGGAACAAAACCAAGCAGACCAGCAACGGACGTTGCGAGATTATTTCAAGCCCGTAGTGAACGAGAATTATTCGGGCATCCAACGTCAACAAGTCAATGCCAACAACTTCGAGCTCAAGTCGGCCCTCGTCAACATGGTCCAGCAAAACCAATATGGAGGCTTGCCGCACGAGGATCCCAATATCCACTTGGCCACTTTTCTGGACATTTGTGACACAATAAAGATTAATGGAGTGAGTGTCGAGATCATCCGTTTGAAACTCTTCCCATTCTCCTTGCGAGACCGGGCTAGATGATGGCTTCAATCTTTACCATCAAGGAGTGTAGCTGCATGGGAGGACATGGACTAAAAGTTCCTCATCAAATTCTTTCCGCCCTCCAAGACGTCTCAACTGAGGGCCGAGATTACTCAATTTCGGCAGTTTGAGTATGAACAATTATATGAGGCGTGGGAACGGTTTAAAGAGATGCTCCGCAAGTGTCCTCAACATGGCATTGAGGATTGGTTCCAAGTGCAACTTTTTTACAATGGGCTTATGGGCAAACTAAGGCTCATATTGATGCAGCAGCTGGTGGAACCATCTTGTCAAAGACACCTGGGGATGCACTCAATCTCTTTGAAGACATGGCAATGAATAGTTGTCAATGGCAAAATGAGCAGTCCACTGTGAAGAGAGCAACAGGATTATGATGTGGATCAAACGACAGGAATTTATGATGTGGATCAAACGACATCTCTCATGGCTCAAATGGCGCTCTTGACCAATCAAATCCAGGGACTTACCGCGGCCAATGCAAATGGTAATAAAAAAGCAGTAAATATGGCACAAGCTTTGAGCTCAAGTGATTCATATGATGAGCAATGTCACTTCATCAACCGTAACTACAACTTCAGGCCCACCAATAACTTACCAACATACTATCATCCCGGGCTCCACAACCATGAGAATTTCTCTTATGCCAACAACCGGAATGTTTTACAACCAACCCTGGAGTCGAGTAAACCGGAAATAGAAAAGCCTTCCGCATCACTTGAAGAGCTTTTGAAGACGTATATTGTGGACTGTAAGGCTCGCCTTGATCAACATGACACACGTCTCAATAACATTGAAACTCACTGCACCAACTTGGGGGGTGCTATGAAGGCACTAGAAACACAAGTTGGCCAATTGGCTAATGCTATAACAGGGCAATCATCATGGTCCTTCCCGAGCAACACCGAGAAGAACCCAAAGGAGTGCAAGGCCATCATATTGAGGAGTGGCAAAGAGCTTGAAGGCCCTAGGGGTCAAAAAGCCATGGTTGATGAGGAGCCTACGAAGAGCAACGGCAACGTTAAGGATAAGTCAATGGAGGTAAACCCGGAGGCCAAGAAGGAAACGCCGGTGGTTAAACCGGGTTCGATCACTTTTCCGTATAATCCACCTCATAACACTCCCCCATTGCCATTCCCTCAACAGTTCTAGACGAAGGCGTTTGACGAGCAATTTGAGAAATTTCTCAATATCTTTAAGAGGATCCACATCAACATCCCTTTCGTGGACGCTCTCAAGCAAATGCCAAACTATGCCAAATTTATGAAGGAGGTTATGTCCAAGAAGCGCAAACTCGAGGACTATGAGACAGTGAAGCTTACAGAAGAATGTAGCGCTATCATAATGAGACAACTACCGGAGAAATTGAAGGATCCAGGAAGTTTTACCATCCCATGTACAATTGGTGGGTCAACTTTTGAGAGAGCTCTTTACGATCTAGGAGCTGGCATAAACCTCATACCTTTGTCGGTGTTTCGAAAACTTGGGCTTGGAGAGGTCACCCCTACAATTATCTCCTTGCAAATGGCGGATAGGTCCATTACCTACCCATGGGGAATCATTGAAGACGTATTGGTAAAGGTGGATAAGTTCATCTTCCCAGTTGATTTTGTAGTTTTAGACATGGAAAAGGATCAGGAAATCCCCATTATCCTTGGAAGGCCTTTCCTAGCTACCGGAAGGGCTTTAATAGATGTGCACAGTGGGAACTTGACTCTAAGGGTCAAGAGGAGAAAGCCATCTTCAACATCTTAAATCCCAAGAGGTCTCCGCAAGAAAAGCCGACATGCAACCGAGTGGAGGAATTGAAATCTTGTATCAAGGAGTTCACTCAAGAAGTTATACCGAAAGATTCTTTGGGGAATGGTCCTACCAATTCCCTAACCATAAAAAAATTGAGCAATGAACATTGTCCCAAGAAAGATGATACGGGGGAGTATATTGTTAAGAGGGCTGAAGCCATTGCTACCCCGATGAACAATGAAATGGTGGTGGCCAAGAAGAAAGCCAAGAAGAAGCACGACCAGCGAACCTCATGGCAAGATCTCACTCCGGGCCAACGCATCCTTCTTTTCAACTCTCAGTTAAAGCTCTCCCCTGAAAAGGTGGAGTCAAGATTATCTGGAACATTTAAGATCAAGCGAGTATTTTCATTCTGTACCATCGAGCTAGAACTAGGAGGATGAAGTCGTGTTCATGTCCAGCTAGGGACGTTAAATTAAGCGCTTCGTGGGAGGCAACCCACATATGATTTTTCGTTGATTCTGTGTCAAATGGGCTTCATTGTAAAAAAAAAAAAAAAAAAAAAGTAAATCAGGAGAGGGAGACAGAATGACAGGCGATATGTCGCCTAAAGGATTTTGACAGCCATATTAGTCTTCGGGAACCTCAGATGGCGAACCCGACGGTGGAATTGATGATGCTGGATGAGGTATGGCCGATAACACTTAGACCGGCCGTGAGGTATTGTTTTTCTTTCCTTTGCCCTTTAAGTTTTAACGCCGAATAGTGGGGACACTATTCCTTTTAAGTTTGGGGGAGAGTATCATTTTCTTTTCTTTTGTTATCATCTCTACCTATTGATGTTCTTTTTGTAGGGTAGTTAGATTTCAATTTATTTTGATATTTGTACCGAACTGAGTGTTGTATTACGTATGACTTTGGGCTTTGATGATGACTTCATGCTAAGCCCTCTTCTTTCATTCGATATAGTCACTGCATATAGATCAATCCTCCATAAATAATTCATAATTAGAGCAAGGTAATATCCGTTAACCTCTCTAATTACATCTGTCTCCTTGAGTACCATTGATTTTCTAATGGACAGTGATTCATAAAACACATTCATGAATCGGAGCTCCTACTGGTCCAAGTACCAAATCAACCCTCAAGAGAATTATTTATCTACTTCTTTCTCAAGAAGGAATGGATTCCATCTCATATAATAACATTCCCGGATACCTACTTCATCATATCTCCAAAATATAAGGAATGGGATTCAGGATCTCAGAATCCGTACCGAGTAAATCAAAAGACACAAATCCATAAATAGGAGTCTGTTAAGAACTTAGGATTAAGATCATTCTATATATGACCATCGGTAGACTCAATTATAATTTCTATACTTAACAGAAATTATTAGAAATTCATATTGTGTCTGTGTCCTTGTTCCGTATACTCTCATTATGCGAAATAAACTCATTCAATATCTCACCATATTAACAGTGTGGATAACACCGTTTCATTCTAAATGGGAATGACATGCATTAATAATGTTTTAGTTAAAGATTCTGAACTTTAATTAAATTCATTATGAACAATTTTTTTGATTATTATCCTCTAACATTATCCTCTCATATATAACACTTATATACAATGTTTAAGGTCACATAAATAATCATGGAATTTTCATTGATATTCATAAAATAGTCACAAATATATACACATAAAAATGATTAATAAACTCTTTTATTAAATAAATAATAAATATCCTATTACATCTTATGCTTCTAGGACACCAGTCCCAACAATCCCCCACTTGTCCTAAAGCAGGTAGAATATGTCTCCAAACCTGAAACTTTCTAGGTATCTATGGCTGATCTATGTCTGGAACAACTTCCAGATCAATTAAGAATTTTTAGAGTCAGGTTGCTTTCTTTTGCCACTTCACAAGCGGCTACACATTAACTCTTAATGATAGAACTAGCAATCACACTTTGCCAACAACCTTTCTTGTCTTGACTCCTTCACCTAGTGTGAACACAGACTTGGATGTTGACTCTCAAAATCCACGTATGACTCATAGTCAAAGTCTATATATCCAGTGAAAGACAACTCTTTCACTGACTAAACTATCTTATAGTTTCTCATTTTTCTTATACACTTAAGGATACACTACACGGCTGCTCAATGATCGAATCTTGAGTTCAACTGACAACAACTGACTACTCCCACTGAATATCAGATATTCAGGCTTGTAAAGAATAAGAACGTCTTCTTTTCTTTTGTTTGAAACATCTTGGTTTTGATCAAATCCATAAGACTGAATAGCCTCATCAAACCTGATATTCCATGATCTAGAAGTTTGCTTCAATCCATAAATGGATCTCTACAGTTTGCAGACTTTCTACTCTAGGCCTTTCTCTATGTAACCATCTGGCTGATCGATATAGATGGTTTCCTCAAGATAGCCATTCAGAAAAGTTGTCTTGACATCCATCTGCCATATCTCATATTCAAAATATGTTGTTATGGCTAAGAGTTTTCAGATGGACCTAAGCATGGCCACCGGTGAGAAAGTTTCCTCATAGTCAACTCCCTCTTTCTGGGTGTAACCCTTAACCACTAACCTTACTTTATAAGTCTCTACTTTTCCATCCGCTCATCTTCTTCTCTTGAAGATCTACTTGCATCCAATGGGTTTTACCCCTTGGGGTAGATCTACAAATTTCCAGACTGAGTTAGAGTACATGGACTCTATCTCGAGTTTCATAGTTGCTTCCCACTTTTCCTTATCAGAATCATCCATCGTAGCCTTAAAGGTCAATGGATCCTCCTTGCCATCATTCACAGTGACAACATGTGCTTCCTCGATATACTAGTCAGGTAACCTGCTTATCCTCCCACTACGATGAGGTGCCACAAGAGTTTGATTAGGAATCATGGTCTTACTTCTTAGCGTACCAGTGACTCTTGTCGGTAGTGGTCCAATCTCATTGGAAAGTAACTTTTCAGAACTACTTTACTTCTAGGCTTGAAAACTATCAAATAGTCATGCTCCAGAAACATGGCATTTGTTGATACAAATACCCTTTGATTCTTGTGACTATCTAAAATAATCCTTCTCTTGTCCCCATTGCATATCCTACATAATATGCATATTTTTTATCTTGGTTCTAACTTCCTAGTCTATTGTTTCATCACATGAACCAAACACCCCCATATGCGAATATGCTTCAAAATTGACTTTCGACCATTCCACAACATTAGGGGTGTCTTTGGTACAGAGTTAGATGGTACTAGATTCAGAATATACACGGTGGTTCTTAGGGTATAAACCCAGAACGAAGTAGGAAATGAAGAATAACTCAACATTGATCTTATCATGTCGAGCAAAGTTTGATTTCTCTTTTCGGCTACACCATTTAGCTGTGCTATACCGGGTGCAGCCAATTGGGATACCACACCTTCTTCAATCAAGAAATCATGAAACTCTTGGTCCAGCTATTCACCCCCTCGATCTAATCGAAGTGTCTTGATTGGTTTACCTAACTATATTTTCAACTTATGCTCAGAATTCTCTAAACTTTCTAAAAGTTTCAGATTTCCGTTGCATTAGGTAAACATAACCATATCTCGAATAATCATCAATAAAAGT